ACATCCCTAAAAAGTGATGAAGTGGAGTGGGAGTGAGGCAAGGCATTTCAGGTAGAGGGAACAACGTAAGCATAAAATATGGGGGAAAGCCCGGGACAGTAAGTCCGGTCTGACTAAAACAGAGTGCTTGCTTTGAGAAGTGAGAAACAGCTTTGTGTAGGTAGGGTAAGATGATTTAATAGAAGGCCTAGCATGTATTTTTTGGATTTGATCTGATAAACAGTAGGATGCTATTGCAGGTTTTTAATCAGAATAATAAAAGGATAAAAGTATTAAAAGCAAAGAAAGAATAAGAAGACAACTCTATGGCAGGAGATGATATTTAAAAGATATTTAATCATAGTTGATAGTAATAATTCTTTTAAAGCCCCAGACTCACACACTGGAAATTAAGCCTCCAAATGCCCTCACTGTCTTAGAGTGGAGAATTATGACTTCAGGAGATATGATCAGGCCTCCACTGTATTTCAAAATGCAAGGTGTCCTAAATACATTTGGGGTACCCTTTATGTTACAATGAATCGTATTTTAAATATTTCTCTCATATTTCTTTTTAGATGTGATATATGGCTCTGGTACTGGCTAGGTATTAAGGGAAGTTGAACCCTGGGTAGCACAATATGATTAAACTGTGTCCCCCAACTGCTATTGTTTATTGTTGGAAAATCAGGTAACAGACCATTGGGAGTTGAATATAAAAGTATCATTCTCTATTGCTCCACCCTCCGAGATCACTGGCTAAATGTTTACTCTCAGAAGTGTCCATAAGCAAAAACACAAAGTAATGTTTTCAAGGATTTACTATCTTCCAAATCCTTGTATATATACATATATATGCACATATATGTGTGGGTATGTGTGTGCATAAAAACAGATATAGATATAAAGAACACCTCCTTCTAGATACATAATCCTAAATCTGCCCTGATTTGTTAATTTGAACAATTATCTTTGAAGAGTTTATAAACATTCACTTTCATTATCAGTTTTTATTATTTGTAAGTAGATAAGTAATCAAGTAGGTACTCAGAGTTTCGCCTGGTGAGTGTACTGTTCTGTGTGTCTGCGGGGAAGGCCTTAAAATTCATAACAAGTATTCAAGAGTTACCTAATAAAATGAGATTTTTACTATATAAAATGTAATTCCATATGACAACATTTCTCCATTTTGCCATGTTTTGCAATTCATTTCTCCTATGTTGAAGCTACTTAAACAGTAGGTTTCAAGTGGGTCATACAACTCAATTGACCACTTTAAGTTGTACGGTTTTTTTTAAATTTTATCTTATGCAAATCCATATACATGTCATTGCCTTCTTAAACAGAAAATGTTTAAACAAAGGACGCACTTTAACCTTTACTTATGCAAGGTCATGACTATGACCATCAATAAATATATTAGCATACAATGATCTATCTATCATACTCAGGGACTACTAAAATGAGAAAAGCTGCTTGCACCTATGCTGAATCTTAGGGTGCTTTTGAGTTTTTGAATCTGTTTCTCGGAGTTTTCCTTTCTCTTCTTTACTGGCAGATTGTCACATATCAATTCCTACTGCTATGAATATGCTTATCTGCGCTAGTGGTCTTCCTTTTACCATCTTTAATTTGCTGTGGGCTTAAAAAGAAGACAAACAAACTCATTGGATTTAGGCCTAAAGTAAATGTAAATTGTTTCCAAGCAAAGACTGGGGTAGGGGTTAGAGGAGGGGTTGCTCTTCTTTGAGTAAAGTGCTTAAGCTTTAGGACATGGATATCTATTGAGACTGGTAAGAGGTCTTTTTTTTTTTTATTACTTCTTGGTTCTCAGTAGTAATCCAAATAGCTGAGGTTGTTAGATAAGTAAGGAGGTGCCATACATATTTGTATATGTATGTAGATATGCAGATAAATATATATAATATTTACGTTAGAGACCACTACCGCAGTATTTTTTTTTTTTGCAGATATGCTCACAAAGCACAAAAGTAGAACACAGGTACCATATGGGTAATCTCAGAAAAGTACTTTTAAAAATTTAATTAATAATTTATTTTTGGTTTTCAACATTCATTTCTATAAGATTTTGAGTTCTAAATTTTCATCCCCTCCCTTCCCCTCCCCCCTCCCCAAGATCTGATATAGGCTGTACATATTCATTCATATTAAACATTTTCACATGTTGTAAAGAAGAATTAGAACCAATGAGAGAAACCACAAGAAAGAAGAAACAACAACAAAAAAAAAGACAGCAAATAGTATGCTTCAACCTACATTGAGACTCCTTAGTTCTTTTTCTGGATGTGCATAGCATTTTCCATCATGAGTCTTTTGGAGTTGTCTTAGATCCTTGCATTGCTGAGAAGAGCTAAGTCTATCAAAGTTAGTCTTCTCACAATGTGGCTATTACTGTGTACAACATTCTCCTGGTTTTGCTCAATTCACTTAGCATCAATTCATGTAAGTCTTTCCAGGTTTTTCTGAAGTCCACGTGCTCATCATTTCTTATGGAACAATAATATTCCATTACATTCATATACCACAACTTGTCCAGTTATTCCCCAATTGATGGACATCCCCTCAATTTCCAATTCTTGGCCATCAAAAAAGAGCGGCTATAAATATTTTTGTACATGTGGGTCCTTTTCCCATTTTTATGATCTCTTTGGGATACAGACCTAGAAGTGATATTGCTTGGTCAAAGGTATGCACAGTTTTATAGCCTTTTGGGCATAGTTTCAAATTATTTTCTAGAATGATTGGATCAGTTCACAACTCTACCAACAGTGCATTAGTGTTCCAATTAGGAAAGTCACTTTTTAAGGGCTTCGTGAAATCATGTGCAGTTATATAACAGGTATTAATTAGGTTGAATTGTGGAATGATGAAAATTACTGTACACATGTGACCTTGGCATATAATTTTTTTATATTAACTCTAACGCTTGAACCTTACTGAAACAACATTGACTAAAAAGTAAAATCTACAAAAAGCATTTCCATCTTAGACCTTGTCCAAAGGCAATTGGGTCTCAGATGACCAAAAGAATTACATTAAACAGTTATTACAGTCTATTAGTTCCATAACATGGATCCTGGATATATTAGCAGCAACAATAAATGAGGATGAAATGGTTATTTCCAATATTGGTCAAACTGATCAGCCAAGACCCAAAATAAATGAGTAGTGTTTCTCATACCCAAGACTTGTTCATTGTTGTTTTGTTGTTTTAGTCATGTCTGACTCTTTGTAACCCCATTTGGGGTTTTCTTGGCAAAGATACTAGAGTGGCTTGCCATTTCCTTCTCCAGCTCATTTTACAGATTAGGAAACTGAGGCAAACAGGCTGAAGTGATTTGCACAGGGGTCACACATCTAGTAAATGTCTGAGGCTGGATTTGAACTCAGATCTTCCTGACTCTAGGCCTAGCCTTCTATCCCCTATGCCACCTAGCTGCCTTAAAGTAATTGACATTCCCTTTAAAATATATTTTCTAAAGAAAACTAACATAGATATAACAACCAGTGGGGGAAGGAGATCAGCACAGACTGTAGGAGTCTGATAAAAAAAGGATTTATGGAGGAAAGAGAACATGCTGGGGAGGATTTGGCTAGGCAATAAAACAGAAAGTCATAAGGGCATTCTTAGAAAGTGGAATAGTTTGAACTAAGGTGTGGAGATGACAATTACTGTGGCATTACTATTGGGTACCTGTATTACTGAACTAAGAGAATGTATTGAGTTGAAGAAGGAAATAAGATTGAGTGAGTGCAGTGCAATCATCTTGGATTGAGGAGCACAGAATCTCATATTAGAAGAGACTCTAGCAATAATTTTGTCAGATTCCTTCATTTTAAGGATGAGGAAACTGAAGCCTGGAGAGGTCAAATGATTTGCCTAAGGTCACATAGCGGGGCCAGGATTCAAACCCAGTTCTTTTAAAATCCAAATCCAATGTTCTTTTTACTACACCACTCTGCCTTTCCAAGTTAGAATTTCACGTACATAATGGGACACAACGGAGTATTGCAGATTCCTCACCAGTGGAGAGAAATAACAAAATAATTCAAATAATATTAATATCTAACATTTATATATTTTAGAGTTACAAAACACTTTACAAATATGATTCAATTTGATTCTCACAACAGTCATATAACATAGGTTGTGTGCATTTTATTGTCCCTATTTTACATATGAATATAGTATGTTAGGAAGTGATCTTTTTGGTAGCACAGAAGGCATGAAGATAAGATTACAAAAAGGATGGAAAGTGGGTTCTTGAAGAAAGATTAAAGGTATTGGAAGGACAGTTTAAATGTTGATGAGATTATTGTATGCCAATATTTAATACTGCCAATATTTAGACTTTTTTCCCCAAAGGAAGAGGGATGCTAATCAAGTTTATCATATACAAAGTGGATCAAAAAAAAAAAGGAAGTTGAGTTTAATTAAAATCTATGTGGAAGATTATTGAGGTTACATCCTTGCTCTATTAACCAGAGATTAGACAGTTATATTCTAGAGAGTTTAAACATTCATTTGCCTGAAGTTAGGAAAATAGAGATGACCTTTTGAGAGACAGGGCAGTTCTATGATCCTAAAATACTCCACAATTTAACTCCACCTTAATCTTAGACTTTAACCTTTCTTCTTCTTCCTCTTAGTTTTTAGCTACTTATTTAAAATTCATCAACACCTGCTTTCCTATACATATGTCACTTGGATTTTGTGACAATTGAAAATTAGAATTCTATTTCTATAAAAACAATTATTGAGGTTCTGAATTACTACAACTATTTTTTTAAAAATTCAAGATATTATAATTCAGTATGCTTGCATATTTTGTTCTATAGCTCACTTACAGCCATCCTGCGTAAGCATTTCTGTCAATGTTTTAAGCAGTTAAAAATATATATGATCAGTGAAAGCAATGTCTTTATTTACATGGTTCAAGTCTTTCAAACATAGGAACAGATAATTGCAGAAAAAGAAAGAAAGAAAGGGGGAAACTTACATGAGCGGCAAGTTGTTCCTGTGAAGCTTTAACTTCAGCTTGTAATTTCTCTATGCACTGAAAAGAGGGGAAAATTTTTAATAGCTGAACTTTTTCACTTCATTGTAAAAAAAAAAAAGAGGTGATTTGACAGGCAAAGAAAACATGATTATCCCACCCTCCCAAAAAAGGCATAACTATTCTTTCTAAAATAAAAATTAAATAGCCACTGCAAATGTCAAAAATAATTAATTGTAACCTACAAAATTTTACTTTCAAAAAGGCCCTAAGAAAAACAAAGGGAGAGAAGGCTTATTTTATGTCTTTTAATAGTTAACCATTCAATATCAGATAGAATGAAAAGGCAAACTAAATTTCAAACATGCAGTGAATATCATGCATCATCATTTTATCACTGCATTCAAATTGCCTACTGATGCGCTTGCTCATTGCTGAACAGAACTGGGAAAGAGAGTAAGGAATATTTTGGAACGAAGTCAAAAGAAGGAAACTGTGTGCCAAAATTTAATGAAACATATTCCTTCTTGTTTCAGGTTGTGTTTTAAAATTCAAAACATAAATCTTTACACCAAGGATGTGCTAGAATAAACTTTTAAATCTGATGAAAGCTGATTGTTCAATTTTCAGTATGAATATTTACACCTTAGAAATCAGAAAATGCTAAAAACAAAGTGTTTTGTTGACTTTCTAGACCTGAGAAAGCTATGTAGAAAATGTTAACAATGTATATTAAATATGTGTCATGTGTACATTTTTTCCAGAGAACCATTTGTTAAATATCTGCTAGCATGTCCACTTTGACAAGTTTGTTGGTGCACATGGATTGTGTTAGGTAAGTAACATCATACATAACATCACATGTTGGCTATGAAAAAAGTGTTGATCCTGTGAACTTGTGAATGGTAGAATTATCTAGGCTAGAAATACTATCATGTGAACCATTATTTTAAGAAACTATCATTATAAGAACTTGTCTCCTGCACCATCCCTGCCTTCAGCATTCTTTCCTCCTCCTCTTCCTCATCATCATCATCCATAACTCTGGTATGATCATTTGAAAAAACCAATTTAGAAGAAATATAATTGATTCTGACTTTCATTTCTTATATTAAATATATATATATATACAAATTTATATTTTATTTTTCATTTCTTATTTCACTTTGTATAGCTAATGATGTGCAGAAACAAGCTAACAAAATGATCCATTCACATAAATTAGCAGAGGGATCAAAGATGAACTCATTTTTCAAATATACTTCTTAACTCCAATTTTAATAACTCCAATTTTTAGGAGTTTTATTACATGAAAAGAACTTTTCAACCTTGCATACTAAGGAAAATAGTATTGCATTCATAACAGTTACACAATACAAAGAATTTAACTAATACTGGCTAGAGGACAAATAAGGTTTTTTTAAAGTAACTTTCAAAATTTTATGCGATTTTTCAACAGAAAATATGGTGCTTTGTGAGGAAATTAAAAATTTATTTGCTAATCTTTTCAATCATGTCCTTAAATTCTAATGTGTACCCCAGAAAGAATTTAGCAGAAATCTCCTTTTTCTTCTAGCTACTAGTAGGGTAGAGGTTTTATTAATGAAGAGGCTATTTGAGCATTGATGTGGGGCAGAGGAGATGAGTTCTCTTGTCACATACCTGGTTTTTGGCATGCATGATTTCTTCGTATGGTTCCCCCCTTGCTTCCCTATTGTCAGCTGCCTCTAGCTGTTCCTCTAGCCAGGACACTTGCTCAAGTAACTTTGACTTAGTTCCTTCAGACACTGCAAGCTGAAGAGATTAATAATTTAGGAAATACAAGTCAGTGGGGGAAGAAGAAGTCCCTTTAAAACAATCTTTAAATGCAGTTGATTCCATCTTAAATGGAAAACAATCTGGAAAATAACTAGTTGATCTTTTCCTGAAGATGAGAAAAAAACTGATGTGCAGCCAATAGTAAAGAATGCTGATTTTATTTATCTTAACAAACATGCCCTTCCTGGTACAAGAGCTGTCTAATAAACTGATTTCTTTTTAGTGTATCTCCTAGTGTCATAGGCCATAGAAAATCCTTTGAAATATTTCAGTCCTCAACTGTCTTTTGCTCTGAGCTCCTAAATCATTTGGTCATAGATTTAGAAATGGAAGAGATCTTAAGATCATCTAATGAAACTTTTTTATTTTGTAGGGTGATAAATAAGGGAAGTAAGGCCCACAAAAGTTGCCACTTTCTCATTTCTATACAGATAGTAAGTGATAAAGAATGGATTTGAATCCAGATCCTCTGTTTCCAAATTTTTCTAAATTCACAAGCTTTTTTATATCATCATGCTGCTTTAGAACCAAGTCTGAGGGGCTTAATGGACTACAAGTATTTCTTAAAATTATTATTCCATACGGAGAGCTCTGCCAATAAGGTAGGAGCCTTGAGTCTTTTGAATAACAGCCACGCAAACCATCTCACATAGACAGGGTAGATAAAGGATGAAGGGGTTTGCAGGATTTTCCAACCATAGATCCAATCATGTCCAAGAGTGAGCTAATGCATAACCAAACCAATCCAGGGGTGAAATTGCTTTTAATTATAAAATTCTTGGCCTTTCAGGTACACTCAGGAACAACCACACCAAGCCTCCTTCTCCCCTACTGGCCCACCTCCTTAGTAATTTTCTCTGAGTCCAAAGGTAGTCTAGTGATCATGTTCTGGAATATTCTCAGAATTTACCGCGTTTGCAGAAACTTCCTCACTATTAGGTTCAAACACTAAGAAAATGCCCTGTGGAAAAGTTTTCTCTCTTTCAGTCTTAGGCAAAATAGCAATTAATTTTCATGTAATTTGTTAGTGGTATCAATTAAAATTAAAAATGTAACTAAATACTCAAATACCCTCTCAGCTTCTGTGAGACAGATTTCCAAAGAAAACTACAAAGATTTGAATTCTGCTTACTAGCTGTGTGACTTTGGGTAAGTCACTTAACCCTATTGCCTAGCCAAAAAAAAAAAAAGAGAGAGAGATTTAAATTCTGGGAAAAACAATGTGAAGAATGTGGTAGCTGACTAGAATCACTCTCACCAGCTGCTTCAATTGCCACTTCTGCCTGATCTCACCTCCAATAATGGTCATGTGTCTATCTTCCTTCTCTCTCTGTTCACTTTTGCCTCTCTGCCTGACATCCCCAAACTGGAGGAAATGTTCCTTCATCAAGGCCACTGGAACCCCAAAACAAACTGAGCTCTTCTGGATACTTTGAAGAGTTTTAATCCCAGGATTCTCTATCCTCCTGAGCTCTTCCAAATGGAAGGTCATCCAAAGTGTCTGTGATCCTAGGAATCAGCAATATTTTGACTTCATAGTATTTTGAAATTCAGGAGAGAAAAGGGTGGCATATTTGAGCCCCATTTTTTCCTTTTCATTCACAAGGCTTATTCTGCTAGTTGTTTTTTTTCTATGAAAATTCCTAGAAAATGGTAAGACAATTTCTCTTCATTCTCTCATCATATACTCTAGCACCTCTTTTGAGTGGCCTTTGGTGAAGCTAGACATCCCTACCTGAAATGTTCCTCTTCATCAATCAGTGGTTGTTTATTCTATGTAGCATCTAAATCATCTACTGATTGTGGCTCTTTCTTTAGACTCATTCCTTACCATGAAATTCTCAGCATTTTCTCATATCATTTAATCTCACTGAAGGAAAATGGGTGTATTTTTCTTTCTAAAATCTAAGATGTTATAAAAGGTTATAGTGGAAAGAACACTGGACAAGATATTAAAAATCTTGCTTTCCTCATCTGTAAAATAATGTGAGGGGAAACAGTGTTTTAAAAAAGTTTTAAGATATTGTTCATCTCAATTTTGTGATTTCTTTGTTCTGTTCTCCTGTTTCTTCTTTCTTGTCATATGACCTTGGTTATCTATCTCCTTTGAAAGAGTTTCTTGCAGACATCTTTTATGTTATTTTTCCCTATGGAAGAGAAGTGATTCAACATTCCCATCTCAATAGTCACCAGACTAGGTTAGGGTTGTTGCTGGGTTTGTTTGTTTGTTTGTTTTTAATGTGTAAATATGACCCCTTCATCACATGTGAACTGCTCTTTAATTAGGTCAAGAAGGGAACAGCATGATTGGCTAACCAAACAAACCAACCATGCCTCTGGGAGCTTTAAAATGGAGAGAAATTTCAATACCAGTTCAGTAGTGAGACAGTCAAGTGGTAGTGAACAGGCTCAGGAACACCTGTAGGAGGCAGCTCCTGTATCAGAAAGCAGCAAAGCATGGGTTGAGGTGGGGTGAAGTGAAGCCAAAGGAGCTGTCCTCTCCCCAAAGACCACTTAATAGAGAAATTAGAAAGGACCAATAGGAAACAATGCAACCAGCTAGGAGCAGAGAGCAACAAATCAGTGACAAACACAGATGCAGATAAATATGGCAATATATGCATCTGAGTAAAGAAATAGCTTCAAGGAGTGTGACCCTTTGAATCAGAAAAGAATGTAGGACATAAGCACAAAAAAGTACTTCTGTTAACCAGATGTATGTTTACTCTTTGACCATCCATACATGTTCACTACTCCTGTGCCCCAATACCTGTGTACCTTAAGTTTAAAATCTCTCTACTCAAGGACTTTATATGTATAAGAAGAAAGTACACCCTCAGTTTGGGGGAAATGTTTTATCCAAATGGTTCATTCTATATCTACCACTTTACTAAAATAACCTTTATTACAAACTAATTGAGTGCATTGACTAATCATGGCAAGCACATAACAGTAGAGGCTTGTGAGTGACATTATTACCCCTAGAACTTTGAGGAAGTGAGGAGTCAGAGAAGTGTGGTAGTCAAAGATACCCTCTGGTATTCACTGACCAACCAGCAAAAGTGGGAATGGGCTAGTTAAGAGGGGGTGTGTGGATCCCCCGGATCAGTTTTAAAGGTACACTTACTTCCCTAGATGTGAAATGATGATAGCATCCTGGGTGCCAATTACAGAATTACAGTAATACCATCTTAAATGTTTACCATATAAATCTCTGAAAATGCATTAAAAGGGGAATACAAGTAACTTCCCCAGAGGAAAAATGATTCAGTCAATCCCAATCTTCTCCAAATATGACCAAATATGTCATGTGAATTTTCAACTGAGATTTTCGTGCTCTCTTTTTGAAGGACAAGCCTTATTTCCCATATTAATTAATATCTGAGACAACAATCTGAGGGCATCAGACTTCATTGTTTTCTCCTATGTGGAAATGTCAAAACATGTCACCATGTTTTCACAACATAAAAATACTGCATGATAGTGCAATATCTAGGGCACCATCAGATAAAATTTTCTTTTTACTCTAGTCAGCTAGAAAACAAAATAAATATTAAATCATTTAATGAATTAGTATATTAAGAAAAGTTGTAGTAGAACATTCTACACCCCCTCCCCATTATAAATCTAAGGTACACCCTCCCACAAACACACACACACACACACACACACACACACACACACCCCTCCAGTGGAGAAAGTTGACATGTATAGGGATCAACCATGAGGGGCAAACATTAAGGGAACATACGTGGCCAGGGCACATGCCTGCAAAGGATGAAGGAGGGAGGCAATTCATACCTCTGACACTAAAGGACCTTTTGGTGATGCTATCACACTATTGCTTGCTGGAGCTAAGAACCTGTTTGATTTAAGCTGTTCACAGAAAGGTTACATTTTGTAGTGGAGTGAAAATCCTGGTTGTCATCCTACATTTCTTCCTACATTCTCTTTTACCAAGGGCTTGAAATTTTTTTTGAAGCTTAATTGTCAGTTCAGGAAAACTTAAGGAATGTTGGCTAAATTCAAATATGGCTTCTGAGATTAAAAAAAAAAGCAACAAAGTACATAGGAAGAAATCCTAGTTAGCAACTACAAATATTTACGATTAAATTTTGTGATTCCAGAGGCTTTGGGCATTACTTCTCTTTTTTGAAGATCAATCTTCTGTTATGAAGGAGATGTTTTGAACTTCATGTAAACAAAACCTTTGTCCATCTAAGTAACAAATATCTCTTCAAAGAAGTAAGTGAATGTGGATCTATTCATGAAATTAGTGATTTCTATGAGAGATATGCCGATAAGCCTCCATTATCGGAAAGAAATTGGGTCAATAGTTTGTTTTAATGAGAATTTTAATTCTTTCCCTTTTGGAAAACTCAATGAAAGAAGTCCACATCTAAGTTGGGACACAGGAAGATAGTGAGGAAAGATGAGGGACAGACAAACTCTGGGGTTTTTTTGTTTTATTTTATTTTGTTAAATGCTAGAACAGATAGATTTGTACCTGGAAGGGTCTATAGAGGTAATTTAGTTCAATCACATAATTTTAGAGATGAGGAAAATGAGGCCCAAAAAGGAGAGGAAATGCCTGGCCCAAAGCCATAGAGTCAGCAAAAGGCCAAGCCAAGATTTGAAGGGAGGTCTTCTGATGCCCAACCCAACAGTGATCTTTTACTTCCTTCACTCCTAGAGGGAGCCATTAGACCTTTACTTCCAGTAGACAGCACAAAAGGGGTCCTTTAAAATGTTCCACATCTAGCAAATGTTACCATATAGTATGAAACAAACTCATGTTTAGTTAATGGTAAACTTAATGCTCTGAATCCAAAGCATGTATTTATTTTTGCTTACTTTGTGTTAGGTACATAGGAATAAGGGCTTACATTTGTATAGTGATTTACAATTTATAACATGCTCCCTTCTGAACAATCCCTTACTGCCTGTTTGAGGTTGGGCAATTCATTCAACTTCTC